CCTTTGCTGCTATATTCTGGTTAAAGAAAAGAGGTCTTATGCCTGGACTCACTTTTTCCAATGAACTCATCAGCAGAGATGAAGTAAGGAATGAAGTATTATTCTTCTAGTTATATTTGTATTCATATTTGGTGTGCATTTCTTTTTCTTTCCCTGGAAAATGCTTATGGTGACACAAGGATCTTGGTAATTAAAAGAAAATAAGAAGTCATTTTTTTCCTTGGCTTTTAAGAAACTTGTGTTTTCTTCCTACCTCCCTCCTCAGTTGTCTCTGCTCACCCTTAAGTACTGTACTCCTGGGTTCCCACCTTGGCCTCTCTCTTTCACTGTACATGACACCCTGGCTAATCTTTATTTATTCCTATGGAATCGGCTACCATCAAGAGGCTCATAACAACCAAAACTTTATCTTTAGCCCAGATACTCTTTCCTGATCTCCAAACTTGTATATTCAAGTACATGTTAGACGTTTTCTCCTGGAAGTTTCCACAGATTTCGCAAACCTAATATTTCAGAAAAACTTATCATCTTTCTCCCAAGATTTGTTCTTTCTTCTGTTTTCCCTATTTCATTGAGTGTCCCTACCTTCCATCGAATCATTTAAGTTTGAAATCTGGGAGTCATTTTACGTTATTTCTTTTTCTCTTTCAGCTATACCCAAACAATAACTAAATCTTGTCTACCTCTGCCTGTGATACCTTTTCCATCTTTCCTACTAGTTTTTTCATTTTTTGTTTACCTTCTTATAAGTTGCAACTCAAAGCTTTCCTGTCTCAATTAGGTAAAATTGGCCGCTCTTTCCAATGTGTATCTCTTTGAAACCTGAACTCATCCCTCATCTTATAGCCCGTAACGTGTATTACACTTCTTGTTTTCTCTGCTAGACTCTAAGCTCCTTGAGTGCAGAAACCTTGTCATTTATCTTTCTGCTCTCAGTATTTGGCCCATCACAGCAATTCAGTTCACATTTATTGGCTATACTGATCCTGGCTCCTCAGCTTATTTATAAGTGACTTTGTCAAGTTACTTAACTTCTCTTGGCCTCTGTTTCTTCAGCTATGAACCTTAACAGGATTTCGTTAAAATACAATGAAACAGTATGTGTGACAGTACTTTTTAAGTGCCATAAAATACTTTGTATAATTACTTTTTGTTGTTTCATATCTTTAAATTTCTAATAATTTACGTTATAAATGTCACATACTTATTATAGAGAATTAAGAGAATAAAATCACTCAATCTCAATACACAAAAATAACCACTTTTATTTATTTTAATTTTATTTTATTAGTTTAAGTATACAATACATTGGTTAGACATTTATATAGTTTATAAAATGATCCTCCTAATTGCTCTTTCTCTCCTCTGGCTCTCCACCTACATTACATTAATACTAACTGCATTCCCTGTACCGTGCTCCCCAGCTGAGATAACCACTTTTAATATTTCATTGTATTTTTTTTAAGTGAATTTTTTATTAAAATTATTGAGGTGACACTGGTTAATAAAATCAAATAGGTTTACATTATAATTTTTTCTAGCTAGCTTTCTACATTTAAATTTGGAGATATATACAAACATCATATTTTAACAATTTGAAATATTCTGCTTTTTTGTATTTTTACAAGCTGAGATATTTTTTTACTTAGCAGAATATTGTGAGCTTTTTTTCCATGACATTAAGCATTTTTTGGAAACAGTTTGTTAGATATATAATATTTTAATGAATGAATATCACTATTTGACTGTTCTATAATTAGAAATTTAGATTGTTTTCAGATTTTTTGTTTGTTTTGCTGTAAAGTGAAATGAATGTCTTTGTATTTAAGCTTTGTCCCAAATTCATATTATTTTCTTAAGCTAGATTCCCTAGAAATAGAATTACTAGATTGTAGAGTATGACCATTTTAAAGGTTATTTATACTTGCTCACAGTAGAAATTTTATAGCAACTTTCACCCCTACCTAATAATGTATGAACATGTTTTTTCTTACCATACCTTACCAGAATTTGGATTTATGTGTTAAATATTTGACAAATTTGATAGGGATAAAGGTATCTCATTATAGGGTTATTTGCATTTGTTCAATTGCTATATATAGATTAAACATTTTTTTCATAACGATATTAGTCACTTAAATTTTTTCTGTATTTACCTGTTCTTATCTTTTGACTTTATTTCTGTTGGTATATATTCCCAGTGCACAGTGGCTGGGCTCTTTCAATAAATATTTAAAAAAATATTTATTGTATGAATGTAATATGAAATATGGATTTTGTTATAATTTTTGCAAACATTTTCCCAGTTTGTCCTTTGATTTTTAATTTTGTTTGTTCTTTTAACGTATAATAACCTGAAATTTATGTAATCAGCTTTCAAACATGAGTTAATCACGCATATTTTTCTTTGATTTTCAACATTTAACTCTCTAATACAATTGGAATTTGTTTAGTATAAGTATAGAATTTAGTATAAACACAGTATAGTATAGGATAGTTAGATTTTAACTAAATTTTATTTCACATACTCTTGGGAAGTTTTTTCAACTCTCTGTTGATTCTTTCCATTGATTTGTGATGTCTTCTTTATTATATGTTAAGATTTTAAGTATTCTGAAATCTGTTTCAGGGCTTTGTTTCTTTTTCATTAACCTGTCTGTCAAATTTCATGCCATAGCAAACTATTTTAATTATTGTAGTGTTTTATGTTTTGGTAATTAGTAGGATAAATCTCATAACTTTCTTATTAAGTGTTCTTACAAGATTCTGCCCATTCTTCCAGATTGTTTTTTAAAATGAAATATATTTGACATGATATTTATAAATTTAAGATATACAACATGTTAATTTGATACATTTATATATTGTGATAGGATTGCCATTGTAGCGATAATTAGCACCCTTACCACGTTACATTCTTTCTTTTCAGCAGCTGGAATAATTAAGTTCTAGTCTCACATTAATTTTTTTTTAAACTAAAAACAATCCCATTAGGATTTTGATTAGAATTGCTTTAAACCTCAAAATTAATTTTAGCATACAAGTGCCTACATTTGATTTACTCATCTCTATAATAGGTAGCTAGCTGTCATTTCAAATCAGCACCTCTCAGCAGTTTATTTGAAATTTAGCCTTTGGTAATTTGAAGTAGCCTCTTGAGTCAAGTCTGGGAAAAATGTTTCACTAGCAAATCTTCTAGGATTAGTTGTTCAAAGAGATTTTTTTCTGATGGTTTCTTCTGTGTATGACAACTTTAGTAAATAATCCTTGGAATAGAGCCTTTGATTTGAGTCTTATCTTTAAGTTGTCTTCAGGTATTTGTTGATTTATCTAGAAAAACCTAAGCAAACTGATTTGTAATCCTTCAAAGTGTACATGTCTTCCTCCTCCTCTCCCCTTGCTGGCTGACAAAATTATTGCTTTTTCCTTGTAGTTTAGAAATGTTAATTGACTCTGCCTTAGTGCCAGTCTCCTTTAATTTTGTTTAGAACTCTGTCGTCTTTCTATATCTCTGGCCTCTTTCTCGCTCTCTCTTTTTTTTTGTTTTGACTTTCTGAAATTTTCGTCTGTTGTTTCTAGCTTCATACCATCTGTTCTGTGGTTTGGAATCTGATTATTGTAAGTTGACTCTCTTTGCTCTGTTCTTCAACTATTTAAGATTCTATACCATTTCTTGTATTTGCATAACCATTCTGTTCTCAAGGCATTTCATGGTTTTTTTTTTTTTTTTGCTCGAGTTAGCTGCAATGTCATTTCTGCTTTATGCATTTTCGAATGGTATTCTTAATTCTTCAGTTTCCATTTTCATTGCACTGAATTCTTATCTTGAGCCATTCTTATTTAATATAAATGTCTTTTAGAAGTTTGAGTTTCACTTGTTCTTAAAATACTTATTATTTTTCAATCATTTCTTAATTATTTTAGACATTAAAAATGAATGAACTTTTATTTTGGCATTTCTTGCTTTTTTTTTTTTTTCCAAAATGCTTTTGGTTGTAGATTTTTGTTGTTAATTAAGTCTTATTTCATATTGATAAACTAAAATTTGCTGGCACTGCAGATTTTTCATGATAAGTTAGTATAATTGGCACTTTAATGAGATTTGAAGGAAAGAAGTCCCTGGCCCTCTTAATCCCTCTTCTCTCTCCCAGGAGTTAACACGTTGCATTTCTAGCACCTACTCCATCTGATGCCTGACACATTACTGTGTGAACGTAGTTGATTAAACGTTTTTTTTTTTTTTTTTTTGACACTTGTATTTTTTTTCTGTTTCAGGGCCTTCACTGTGACTTTGCTTGCCTGATGTTTCAATACTTAGTAAACAAGCCCTCGGAAGAGAGGGTCCGGGAAGTCATTGTTAACGCTGTTGAAATAGAGCAAGTAAGCGAGGAGCCTGTGTGATTAGCATGACACTCTCTCAAGTTCCTACCATTATTTTATTAGTTTGGCTCATAGGAAACTGCCATTTTTTAGGTCAGAATAAATATCAACAATTTTTTATGGTCAACCTGACAGTACCAATAGATAATGTATTTCAATTATATCAGTTTATAATTTGGTTTATAGGTATTATATATTAAGATTTTATGTGAACAAAAATCTAGTGCAGGACTATATTTTCTGTTTCATTGACCTGTCAAATTTTATGCTGTAACAAACTATTTTAATTATTTTTGCTTTATGTTTTTAGATTTTTAGCTACTGGAAGGCAGTGATGGTTTCTTGTTTGTTTTATATTCTCACAAATCCAGCAAGGTATCTAGCTTGAAGCATGCACCAGATGTTTATAGAATGAATAAATGAATTAGTGAATAATAAACCTAATTTATGGCATGTAAAGGTCTCTGACTAGAAAGAAGGGGACACCCATGTGTTTTAGCATGTGTTTTTATCATTTGAAAGAACTAGTGTAAAAGTAAAATAAATTTTTAAAACTTTTTTTTAATACTGAATAGTTTAATAGCCATAGTTTTCATAGCAGGGGTAAGGGGAAGGCATAAAATGCGTTTTGGTATCTTTAATTCATTTTGAAAACTGAATCCCTATGGTTAATGTTTTTATTTTTCCTCTGTTAACACTCTCCCACTGTCTTTCAGTGTAGGTGTAGTTCAGTTTATCTCCCAGCCCTCAGATCCATTTCTGTTTCTCTCATTTTCTTTGTTAATTGTGTTTTCTCTCTTTCACAACTCCCTTTCATAATCATGTTCCCCACAATAATCATCTTTGGTGAATCTTTTTCTAGATATTTCAGAACAAAGTATCTTTCTATTTAGAAAGCATATGAATTCATGTCCTACATGTGATACTTTAAAAAATACCAGTAATTTGATAATTAATTTCAATTTATTTTGGCTATTTGAGAATGTGAAAAAATGTGACTAGTAATACTCCAAACATTTTTAAATAAATGGGCATTGTTTGCCGTGTCGAAAGAATTTAGTGTACTTTTCCCAGACAAGAGTAGTTTAGCAGATTAATAAAACTAAAACTCTCTTTTTATTTGGAAAATGCATACTTATTTATTGTTCTGTCTTTGTACTTTATTCTGTTCTTGTTTTTATCTCAGGAGTTTTTAACAGAAGCCTTGCCAGTTGGCCTCATTGGAATGAATTGTGTTTTGATGAAACAGTATATTGAGTTTGTAGCTGACAGATTACTTGTGGAACTTGGATTCTCAAAGGTAAGGTATTTAAAAATGTATTACTGCTAGCTAAAATGTTACAGTCAAGGCCACTAAAATCTATTTCACTTAAAGCATTTGTAACATACGAGTCTACTTTTATTTTTTATACTTTTAAAATGTCCTGGCAAAGCCTTGTTTTGGGTGAACACATTAATTTTGCAAAATCCTTTGAAACTTAAAATGAAATTCATAACAGAAATAGGAAGCTGATATATCTTAGAACTAATAAGTTAATAAATTACTTTGTAATAATTGCAGATATCTATTTAAAAATAGGATTCTTTCTAAGTAATTGCATTTAATATGTATATGTGTTTTACCCTATGTAAATCTCCATGTGTCTATGTTGTAATTTTTGGTTAATACTTTTAAATAGGAAATAATTTTTATGAAGACATTAACTCTTATAATTTGACCCTTTGAACTCAGTTGTCTTTATGTTATTTCTGTTTTTCATAAAGAGGTGTGCTTTTCACATGATTTAACAGGTCGAGGCTGTAGGCAGATGGAATCCTGGTTCCACCACTTCCTAGCTATGTAAGATCTTAGTCATCTTAAAGCTTATCACCCTCGAGAGCCTCTAGAACCGTAAGGAGCAGTGTGATCCTATAGGTGGCTAAACAGCTGTTGGTAGACCTGAGCTCTGTTTTAGTATCTCTTGCTCTTGTGGGATATAATTTGGCTTCTTCAGAATGTCTGGTAACGTTTCTTTTCATTTCAGATTTTTCACGCAGAAAATCCCTTCGATTTTATGGAAAATATTTCTTTAGAAGGAAAAACAAATTTCTTTGAGAAACGAGTTTCAGAGTATCAGCGTTTTGCAGTGATGGCGGAAACCACAGATAATGTCTTCACTTTGGATGCAGATTTTTAAAACCCTCCCATATCCAAACCTGTCATTGATGATTAGCAGTCTGTCTTTCTCTGCTTAAAAACAAACAAACAAACACTTAAAAGATATCTCTTTTGCTCAAAAAGAGATCCAAAACCAAATATCAATCAAGTTGGGTTTGTATAAATACATTCTAACTTTTCTGTTGAACAACCAGAGTGTGACCTAAATGCTTTTGTTTTGTTACTAAAACATAAGATGACATTATGTAGTGACAAAGAGCATGTGGGAAGGGGTCAGGTATGAGTTTAATATTCTGTCCTTATTACTTTGTATGACCCTTGGCAAGTCAGTTAATCTGTCTCAACCTCAGTGTGCTTATCTTTAAAATGAGTGTAATAGTAGGTCCTAAATTTATAGAGTGGATATAAGGATTAAGGCACAAAATAAGGGCTTAGACAATACTGCTACTAATACCACCACCACCACCACCACCACCACCACTATTGCTAATTATTATTATTATTAATAGTGTTAATTGCAGTGGTTTTGTGATAAAATGCTCCCCTCTCCTCAAAGTAATTGTGATTATAGATCCTAAGATTTAGAGTTAGATCTTAGTATTTTTAATGTTTGAGGGAGGATATAAGATTTCCTTTAAAAAGCTAATAATTCCCATTAACTTGAGAATAATGTCTTGGAATTCCTCCGTATGTAGTAAGAAATTTAGTTCTTAGTTTCTTCGGGAAGGATGCCTATGGAGTGGAATCCAGGAGGTTATCATGGTGGCTGGCCTTGTGAGCACAATGATTTTGCTGCTTCAGAAATGAAAAGGGTACTGCCAAATGTAGCCCTTGAATGTTAAAACCAGGGTGAATTAGCGAGAATAGCATTTCCCAAACAGTATCCTAAGAGCTATTGGTCCCTCTAGATATCTTGTGGGAAGAAAGGGATTCTGTGGTCAAAAGAGTTTGGGAAATGCTGTATGCTCCCTTTCTCTGTGCAGTGTGCAGTCAGTGCATCAGAGACTGGGAAATGCTACAGTTACTTCCCCCCGCATATTCTAAACTTAACACAGATCTGTTTTTCATTTGTTAAGATCTCAACTAACTAGTGTTCTTCAGAACATAGTTTGGCAAAAGCTGGCCTAGAACCATTTTATGCATAGAAGAAGGCTTGTGAACTAAGCCAGGGAGAACCTGGTGGAGACTATGGAACCATTTCATATTTGTGCCAAGCTCAGAAATGTACCTATGATTGGCCTCAGCTGTTTCTTGGAAACTTTTAAAACTCTTATGCTGTTATGAGGAATAGTTCTTTTAATGGAACTATGCATGCTGCACGATAGCAGATGGTGAGGGAGATGGACTTTTCTGCAGAGGGGACTGAGGGAAGGACAGGGCCAAGGTCTCTGAGAAGTCTGTCCCCTCTTTATCATTAGAAAGTGTCAAGAGGTGGCCTGAGCCCCAGCAAGCAGTGGGCTTCCCCGCTCATGGCATACTACTTTATAAAATTCTGAAAGCTAAAATTTAGAGATTTTTCTCTTTGCAGAAATTTTTGCTCCATTCATGCCACAACTATCTAAGTGATTAAAACTGGGAGTTCTTAAGTGGATGCAAATGGAGCTGGCCATAACCTTATTTGTTAGAACATCAGAAACTTGAAATATTTGGCCTCTGATAATACCATTTATTTGTTCAGTGCTTCATAGTTTGCCAGGCGTTTTTACATCACCTCAATTTGATCTCACAGCAGCTTTGAGCTTGATAGAGCAGGTAGTATTGATTTTTCCTGATGGAAAGAG